TAAAATGATTTATATATTTGCTTAATTCTGTTTCAGTTTTATTTGTAACTGATTTAAAACATTGTGACTTAGGGTGGTGCCTGTGGCTCAAAGGAGTAGGGTGCCGGTCCCATATACCAGAGGTGGTGGTTTCAAACCCGGCTCCGGCCAAAAACTGTAAAAAAATAAAAAAATAATAAAAAAATAAAATTTAAAAAGCCTTCAATTAAAAAAAGAAACTGGCCCCAGCCAAAACCTGCAAAAAACCAAAAACCATTGTGACTTAGGAACTCTTACATAATGTTGTAGCACCTATATTAAAAGGAAGTTTAAGCTCAGCGCCTATAGCTCAGTAGCTCGGGCACCAGCCACATACACTGGAGCTGGTGGGTTGGAACTCAGCCCAGGCCTGCCAAACAACAATGACAACTACAACAACAACAACAACAAAAAATAGCCAGGCACTGCGGCGGGCGCCTGTAGTCTCAGCTGCTTAGAAGGCTGAGGCAAGAGAATCACTCAAGTCCAAGAGTTTAAGGTTGCTGTGAGCTGTGACACTATGGCACTCTACAGAGGGCAACACAGTAAGACTGTCTTTCAAAAAAAGAGGAGGAGTGGTGGTGCCTGTGGTTCCAGCGAGTAGGGCACCGGCCCTGTATACCAAGGATGGCGGGTTCAAGCTCAGCCCGGCCAAACTGCAACAAAAAAATAGCCTGGTGTTGTGGTGGGCACCTATAGTCCTAGCTACTCCAAAGGGTGAGACAGGACAATCAGCTAAGTCTAAGAGCTGGAGGTTGCTGTAAGCTATGATGTCACCGCACTCTACTGAGGGCACAAAGTGAGACTGTCTCTAAAAAGAAAAAAAAAGGGAATTTAGAAAATTTTCCCCCTAAGTGAGAGAGTAATGCAAATCAGATACCTCTAGAAATCTCCATATGCCCATACCAGATGATATTTGCCTTGCTGGCCTCACAAGAGTCATAGGGAATGAAGGATTTAAAAATGTTCTATATGCTGTAAAGTGCTTTAACAGGTAAGGCAGTGTTTGACAGAATATACCTCTTAGATCTCCACTTTCTTCACCTTCTGGGAATGGAACTACCCAGCCACTGATTCTGAACTCCAGAAGCCCGTCACTGTGAGAAGCCAGGCTCTCACAGGCTGATCCCAGCAGTGACAGCATGGCAGGAATGCTGAGGTCCCCAGGCAAGGCTCCACTGATGAGCATCTTCAGTTTGAGAATTACCCTCTGGCCAGATTTACACTGGGGTCTAAGTTGCTTCCACCCAAATTCATTGCCTTTCTTCCTTTCTCTCTCCCTTTCCTCCTCTGTCCTTCCCTTCTCCCTTCTTTTCCTTTCTCTCAGGGTCAGATTGTGGCCTGGTCTGAGGGCTGTCCCAGCTCCATCTCCATTTCATTAGGTTTCCCTAATGCACTTTAATCTCACCTTGGCAGTAGCCTCTATGACAGTGGTTCTCAACCTTCCTAATGCCGTGGCCCTTTTATACAGTTCCTGTGGGTCACAACCCACAGGTTGAGAACTGCTGTTCTAGGAGGACACAGGCTACAAAAAAGTACTAATAAATGAAGGATCTTTTAAAAGCTTTCATCATTATCCCTTCTTTCATTCAAGTTTTTTGTTCAATGTAAGCCAGGGGCAGGGGCTTACACCTATAATCATAGCACTCTGAGAAGCCCAGTGGGGAGGATCCCCAGCTGGAGTTTAAGACCAGCCTAAGCAAGAGTGAGATCGTCTCTACTAAAAATAGAAAAATTATCCAGGTGTGGTGTCAGGCACCTGTAGTCCCAGGTATTGGGTGTCTGAAGCAAAAGGATTGCTTGAACCCAGAAGTTTTAGGTCACTGTAAGCT